ATTGCTTTGATTAGTTTAGTTTTAATTATGTGTGAGTAGTTTTATTTCTAGGGTTTGTGGGGATCCATAAATAATATGAAGGGGTAATTTATTGTTGTTGATTGTCAATGCTAGATTAATTTCCTATTGATTGATTTAATGCTCTGTGACTAGATTTGTGAAGATCTTTTATGCATGAGTTTGACAATATTGATTTGATTCGAGAGATGAAAATTGATGTTTAGGTCTAGTTTCAATAGGCAGGTTAATTTATAAATGGTTAAGTCGAGATTCGAGAGATAAGATTTAATACCGGTAAATTAATTGTGTGATTGTAATACGTAGCGAAAGCCCTTTATGATCTGATTAATTTATGCGTTGGTGATTGATTATTATGTTTTACCCTGGAATGTTATTTATTGGTGAACCTATGCCCTAAGCCTTTTATTCATTGTTTTCTCATTATTCTTAATCTTCGTAGTTTAGTTTCCTTCGATCATAATATTTTGGTTACTTTATAATCTAGATTATATTAATTAATTAGGAATAGAAAGACTCGTTTCTCTGTGGATTCGACCCTACTTCCCTATCTACATTAGTTAAAGGATTTAGGAATTACTTTTGATTAGGTGATACGATTTTAGCCTATCACTCTATATATATTTTGCCTATGAGCATCAATGTAGTTTGAGCATTTTCCCTCATAAATAATTACTAGGTTAAATCCAGTGCAATGCACATAATTAAAATAAAAATTTAACTATTTAAAAGTATATAAATATAATGATTTGATTCACCGGGTATTAAAATGCTTAAAATAAATTAAAAAGATAAAAACATATCAGAGAAAATTTTTAAATACTTGCATGTAATAGTTATAATGTGCAAGTTGATAATTTATGAAGTTTTGTATATAGTAAAAGTTATAATTTAGATACAAACTTTATTTTTGTATAACAATGATTTCTTTCTTTTTTTTTTAAAAAAAAACTAATTTTGGAGGGAAAAGTTTTAATAGTATTTTGCCAAGTTTCCTCCTAGATTCGCTATTAGTACTAATATTATATAATAGATAGATAATTGATTTAGGGTCTGTCCACATTTACTTAATTTCAGTTCAGTTTAATCCAGTTCAGCTCCAATCAGTTCAATTCAGTTCAGCTTCAATCAGTTCAGTTCAGCTTCAATCAGTTCAATTCAACTCCTAATTTTCCTCTCTCATAAAATATTCAGTTCAGTTTAGTTCAGCTCCAATCAGTTCAATTCAGTTCAGTTCAGCTCCAATCAATTCAGTTCAGTTCAGCTTAGTTCAGTATATGTGAACAGAGCCTTACATTATGTTATGATTTTAATAAAGCCACTTTTATTTTGTTTTACAACAAATGGTGCTGTAGGGAATAATTTCAAGTGTTAATCCCCTAGCTTGAACCCCACTGTGATCATACACTAAAGTACGGTGGCGTCCAAAGGGAAAGAAGATAGAGCAAAAGAGTCGCCAACAAATTTTTTAGGAACTTGTAAACCGTTCACAGGGTGAAGGTTACACCCCTTAACGATCATAGAGATCGTCAACTCCATAAGGTCTTGAACCAAATAAGGGTTCGGGGATGAAGGTACAAATCCAACCTAAAATAGATTGAATCTGCCCTAATAATAGGCCTCTACTTTATTCTGATCGTATTCATGTGCGCTTTCTGACTAATATGCAATCAATAGGATTAACCCTAAACCTGTTTAATCTATGTTGGTTGAATTCAATGCACAAACAAAACTATTATTGGCGATCACTTGAATTATAATCACATTAACCCTTAACAAGATTATTAATTATCTTATTAAGCGTGATTACAAGTACTAATTCCCTTTAAACATGCATAAAAGGCGTGATCAAGCAATAACAATAAATATCAAGCAACATAATTAATAATCAAAATAATAATTATTATAATAACAATCATATTAATCATAATAATAATCATGTTAAAGCATAATAATAGCAAGATCCTAGGCATGATACTAACAAGATTAATAACAAACCCTAGCATGTCACTAAGCAATAAAAATCAAAGCTTTAGCCCTAACATGATACTAATAATCATAAATATTAGGAAGAAAATAAAAGGCATCATACTTTTAATCATACTTGATATTAAAATTACCCTAGACATGATACTAGGAATCATAATAACAACCTAAGCATGATCTCTATATCATAACATCAATAAATCAATTAAAATACTTACTTTGATGCCTCGTACCTCTTTCTAATAACAAAATACACACGTTAGTAACTTCAAGGAAAATAATAATAAAAAATAATTAAATTAAATAATAATTGAAATAGAGATTTAGGACCAAACCCTCAGAAATTAAACCTTTCACGTCTAGGGCGAAGGCAACTTCGAATATGGCTAGGTGTATCTAGATCTAATGAATGCGGAATTTTGTATGTGAGAAAGCTAGTTTGGAAAAGAGAGAGAGAGTAATCAAGAGAATCTTGATGAGAGTTGGTGAATATTAGAGAGAATCGGTGATTGTAGATGAAAACTGGTTTTTAGGTTAAAACTGGTTTTCAAAACGGAGTTTTTAGTACGTTATTTATAGAGAAAATCAACCAAAAAGATAAAATATATCAAAACAGAGTTCCGGCGCACAAAAAATCAAACCAGCGCCAACGCTGGCACCAGGCGCTACAGCTGGCGTTTGGCGTTGATCTGGAAAATTACGCATTTTCTTAAAATCAGATAAAAATTACCGTACAGGAGGATAAAATCTTATTTTTCCTCAAAAATGCTCTTTGATTTTAATTAAAACTCTCAAAAGTCAACAAAAGTCAAATTTATCAATGCTAATTGAATTAGGAATGAAAAGAACCTTCTAGAAGAATATAGAAGACTAAAACCATTCCTAATTGCATTAGGAATGATAAATCATATTAGGCCCTCCTCTAGATCATTGGGCCGCATATAAGGCTCAAACCGGGCTCAGTTTAGTAAATTGGCCATAACTTCCTCAATATTCATCGGAATTGAGCTTATAATATATCGTTGGAAAGCTCTTGTCAAGCCCCATCCAACTAAACTACCATTGGACCCATATCATGGACCAACCAAACTAGATTGGCTGTTTTCTTAAAATAAGTTTTCAAAAACAGAGAGAAGAGAAGAAATTAAAACTATCCGCAACACTAAACTTTTCACACTTTCGCTTCATTCGATTATGATTCGACGCGAAAGGTACTCATCACTGGGTTTGGTTTTGGGGAGACACAAATGGGTGTCTATAGGTGCCAACTCAAAGGTTTGAGGAATTGCCTTCAATGGTGTTTCGGGTGTTTTTTGGATTTCCTTGGATACTGGTCACGCTCTCCTGGCGACGAGACGGTTCGACCTGCAAAACAACGAATATTTCCGGTTGTCGGAATATTCGCCTCCGACGATCAAGTCAGTGATCGGAAACGGAATAGGCTAGAGAGAGAAAGTAGAGAGAAGTTGGAGCTATTAATGCTCTTTTTGTTGTAATGTCTTAATCCACCCCTCTCATCATAAATGATTGGGGTATTTATAGGGGTGGAACTCGTGCCCCTTTCTAGGGTTTGTACCCTAAAATTGCGTGACGTGATTGGCTGCGCAATCAGAGAATGCCACGTGTTGCTTGTGGGCGCCGTTTTGCGGCTTTCAACGATATCTCTCGGGATTTGGGCCCTGATGTAATTAGGCCCCTTTTGTGTGCTGATTTCAGGGGTCATGTATGCCCTAAATACGTGGCATCATTCTGTAGCAACACGTGTCACCCTCTCATTTGGCAACGTGTCGCTATAGGATTGGCCTAAGCCCTTGAGCGCTTTTAAACGGACACGTGGCACCTTCCCAAAGTGACACGTGTCATCCTCTAACTGGGACACATGTCGCCATGGGACTGGTCCACTTGTACGGGGTATTTTTACCCTCAACATTTGCCCCTCAGAGGGGGTGGCTCGTACGCTTACAGGTCGCATTCTCTGACCTTGAATAACTTTGGTGCGTACAAGTGCATTAGGGTTTTGACAGGCGGCTATTGTCCGCCTAAAAATTTCAAGCGAACGCCCATCTTTGCGGAGGGAGCGGACAACAGCAGACCGTCTCATGTTTGGGAGAATCGGCCGCCTATCCATTGTGGAGGGAACCTTAGCTCCGTGTTCTTATCCGTTTATTTTTGGACGTGTCGTTTATTAGGTCATCTTCTTTTTCGCCTATTCTAACGGCGTTGTTCTTCACCCCTTCAAATTCTAGGTTAAATTTTCAAATTATAACCGTTCAACTTCTTTAGGCGGGAAAGATGAATTTACCATTTTACCCCCATAAATTCTGTCTATATATACAAAGGGTTTGACCTCATTTTCACACTTTGGAACTTTAATTTTCTAGAGAGAAGTCAGAGCTTTTAGAGAGAGAAGTTCCCTTTTCTTTGAATCTCCAAGAGCTCCGCCGTGCCTTTGAGTTTTCCGGGAACATTCTTTGAGTTTTCCGGTCAACCTTCAAGACTTTTCAAGATTTCTACACGTACAGAGGTAGGCCGCCTGTTTTCTTTTCCTTTTCTTGCATTTTAATTTCTTTACTCTTTATTTTTAAATCTGGCTCAACACTCGGCTTCATCCGTTTCTCCTCATGAGGCCGACCGTTCGCCTGGGACTGAGGAGTCTAGAGTGGACGGAGACGACACTAGTGGAAAAAATCTCATTCGTAACAAGCTATTTGTAACGGGCAAAGCTTTGCCCGTTACAATTAAGATATTCATAACGGGCAAAATAGTGTCCGTTACGAATACTTATTTATTCGTAACGGGCAAAATAGTGTCCGTTACGAATACTTATTTATTTGTAACGGGTGAAAAATGTCCAATACGAATACGTATGTATTGTGATGGACAAATTAGTGCCCGTTACAAATAAATAAGTATTTGTAACTGACACTATTTTGCCCGTTACAAATAAATAAGTATTTGTAACTGACACTATTTTGCCCGTTACGAATACTGTATTACACGTAACTTGCCCCAACTGATAGAGAAGCCCATTACTTGGCTTTTTAGGGTTTCAATTAATAGCCGTCATTTCTCCTCTCCTCCTCTCTCTCTCCTTTCTCTCTCTCTCTCTCTCTCTCCCTCTCCTCTCATCTCCTCCCTGCCATTCTCCTCTCCTCCTCTTTCTCTCCTCCCCGTCCTTCTCTCCTCTCCTCCATCAATTTTAGAGAAAAAAACTATTGCGCTTTCGTTGTCGTTGTCAATGTCGAATTTGAATTGCGAGTTCTCTTCAATTTTACAGCCTCCATTTTTGATCTACTGCGCTTTTGTTGTCGTTGTCAATGTTGCCGTTGTTGACTACTCTTCCGGCGAAGTCCGATGACTTGCCTTCTGAATGGGATAGAGTTTACTCCGATTGATCCTAGTGTTGTTCTACATGATATCGCTTTTGTTCCCGATGACTCTAATCACGGTACTTGCTTTCTATTTTTATTTTGCTGATTTTTTATTTTAATTAGTTTTTGAATCATCTGATTTTTCTACTGTTTGTGGTTTAATTTTCGTTTCAATTAATATTTTTTTGGCTGAATTAGTAAATTTTGTATAATCTGAATTTTCTAATATTTGTGTTTTAATTTTCATTTGAATAATTGTGTTTTTGGCTGATCTTTCATCACATTTTGAGTCTATTTTGTGTAACCTAATTTTCTAATATTTGTTATAATTATTGTTTTTTTTTTGTTTTTTTTTTGCTGAATTTTCATTTTGAGTAGTTTTTTGCATTAACTGATTTTTCTATTGTTTGTGGTTTAGTTTTCATTTGAATAATTGTTTTTTTTTTGGCTGAAAATTCATTTTGAGTAGATTTTGTATAATAAGATTTTCAGAATTATGTTTTGTCACTCTGTGATATATATTTTTAATATAGTTGATGTGATGAGCTTTTGATAGAATTTGAGTACTTTGAACAATTCAACAAATGCGCTATTATTGTCATTGTGAAAAATGAATTGGAGGTGTGATATATAAATAATTATGAGAATTAGAGAGTACTTAATTCTGGATGAATGAATGGTGGTCTTCTTATGCTGGAAGGAGTGGGAAGAAGGGAGAGGAAATGTCATTAGTCATTTCAAGCAACTAGTATATATACAGAGCTATTAAAGTAGGAAGTCTTTGGTTGCATATTTTTTGGGTGATATTAGTCAATGCCTTTTGCCTCTAAGGTAATGAGTGGTTGCTTTTGTTACTCACCCTTATTCAATGAATTGGTGAAAAATAATAGGCATCAATTTCACTGATCAATTTGTTCTGGCTCGTGTTATGGGATAAGATGGTGTGGGTTCCAATGAAAGATAAAACTCTATATGCCTTAAAGCTGTCAGTTTGTATCACTGAGTATGAGGTAGAGAGAGTCCAATGTGGAGCACTGGCCTGGTGTAAGATAGAGAATTGATCTGTTGGATACTTTATTGATTTATACCCCTTTACTTCTTAAACTTATTCTAATTCGTTCTGTAAAAAAAATGTTTTTGATACTATCTAACAATGATTTATGAGGGGCTCATGTTTTCAATGATTAAACATGTGTTCTTTGTAGGAGGAAATTCCTATAGAGGAGGTGTTTGAGAGTTTGAGATGCTCAAGAGAAGGTCTAACTTCAGATGATGCAACCAACCGTCTTCAAATTTTTGGACATAACAAGCTAGAAGAAAAAAAAGGTTTATCCATTGTTCTTTCACTCTTGAAGAAAATTAAGTATTAATTGTGTTCATTAACTTCCGGTCGATCTAATCAAGCTTTTTTCACATCTGATACCGTTGATCTGGAATTAACAGGAGAGCAAACTCTTGAAGTTTCTTGGCTTTATGTGGAATCCATGGTCATGGGTTATGGAAGTAGCTACTTTAATGGCTATTGTATTGGAAAATGGTGATAATAAGCCTCCAGATTGGCAGGATTTTGTGGGTATCATGGTGCTTCTGGTGATCAACTCTACTATTAGTTTCATAGAAGAAAACAATGTTGGTAATGCTGCAGCAGTGCTTATGGCTAACCTTGCTCCTAAAACCAAAGTAAGTCACTAACAAAAAAAGGCTCAAGTGTAGTTGCAGCTATATGATTTATAAAAATAATTCTAACTCTTCAATACAGGTTCTTCAGAGATGGATGATGGGGTGAAATGGAGGCATCAATTCTAGACCTATGTGACATAATTAGCATCAAGTTAGGAGACATAGTCCCTGCTGATGCTCGTCTTCTTGAGGGTGATCCTTTGAAGATTTATCAATCTGCTCTCATTGGAGAATCTCTTCCTGTCACTAGGAATCCTGGAGACGAGGTCTTCTGTAGTTCAACCTGTAAACAAGGTGAATTAGAGGCAGTTGTCATAGCTACTGTGATTTTTTGATTGATTTGAATTTTTATTTGTGGGTTTATGACTAATGAGGAGTTTTGATCTTAATATGGTTAATAATGTATGAGTTGTATTGAAATTGTGATTATTTATAATTTTTTGTCCGTTTGATTTTGATTTGTTAATATGTGATGTAAATTCGAAATGAACCTTTTTTTAGATGATGGGACTTAAGCTATGAAGAAAGTATTGATTCAAAACAATGAGCAGCTGGACTTGGTGAGGGAGGAGATCCGAGTTTCCTCCCTATTTACATATCCTAATCTGCTTCCCCTTCTTGATCATGCTATCATCAAAGTCAAGGTAATCGACCGTGTTTAGGTCCTTCTCTTTTCCCCTCCTTGAGCTTTATGTATGTTATAAATCCAGATTACAAGGTGTTGAAACTTGAAAGCATGTATGCATGTACATACATAAATCAATTATTTTGAATCCACAATAAATTATAAATCTCAGTGTAAGGCTTTTTCAATACTTCTTGGAAGTCGTTTTATTCTAGTGTTGTTTCAGAAATTCAAAAAGATATCTCTATCTTTGTCTAGTGCATGTTGATATGCTTGAGAATTCAAACTTAAGTGATATTTTTATGCCATCAGTGGGATTGCTTATTTAGTTGGCATAATTTTGTGTGAATTATTAAAGGCTTAATTGTAGACTATTTTGTTCACTTGATGATTGCTAATCTGAGTGACTTGTGAGATATTAAGTCTATCCTATGAGAATTAAGTTTAAAGAAAAGAAACAGACCCATGTGAAATTTTCGGAGTTTTATAGTCTTTTCTGATATGCAAACAATTGCATTTTCATCAGCTTTCTGTTCTTGTTCTTGGTTGCTATATAGTAAAGTTGTTGATCATGATTATAACCTTGTAGCAGTGTAGTGGTCTCTCAATATTGTAGATTGTGCATCTGTATATTCATATCTAAAAGTATCTTTTAAATTAATATGTTTGCATTAATTAGGCCACTCAAGAGCAATCTTGGAATCATGAAGCGTACCTGTTATTCCCAGTTCATTTGGATGGAACTTTGCTGGACAACTCAACCGCTATGAAAGCTAATAAGGCCCTTCTGGTGGATTTAAGTTTGGGTGAAGGTAGCTTAAGTGTACAATGTCAAATAAGTAAAACATAACGCCTTTAGAGGAAACAAGTGTAATTTTTTTTTTAAAATCAGGAAACAAGTGTACTTTAGATTTGGTTTAACTTGGCTGTTCTTTTAAAGTTTTAGTTATTAATATTAATTGTATATTTTTTTTTTGGAAGAAATATAAATTGTATACTATATTTGTATAAAAATATATACATCTCAAATTAAATGATAAAATGGTGTGCAAAATCCAGCATTTTGCTGGATTTTTTTTTTAAAAATTTGATTACACAGTATTCGTAACGGGCAAACCATGTCCCGTTACGGATAATGGGGTTATTCGTAACGGGCACTTGAAAATGCCGTTACGAATAACTCTATTATTCGTAACGGGCACCTGAAAAGCCCGTTACGAATAACGGGGTTATTCGTAACGGGCTTTTCAGGTGCCCGTTACGAATAACCTATTATTTGTAACGGGCGGTGCCTGTTACAAATAAAAAAGGCCATCCGTTACAGACGCTGCCCGTTACGGATGGCCAGTTTTTGCCCGTTACGGATGGCCTTTTTTCCACTAGTGCGAGTTGTCTCCTTCATGGAGTGGGTCCATTTCTAGTGCATACAAACACACTTCCACCTATTCCTCTCTGTCCCTGCAGTCGAACATGGTAAGAACGATGCAGACGTAAGATCGTCATGCGGCCATAAATCCAAACGGTAGTTCTGGTGAACCCTAGGCCTCCTTATGACCCTAACAACCCTAACTTGGAAACGCCTTCTACCACTCCTACGACCGCTTCCACGGGCACTCATTGCTCGGCCGTGGAAGTAACTTCTTCTTTTGAGGCGCGTCAAAGGACTTAGGGCGCTTCTGCTGCGGGGGGAACGTCCGGGCAAACTCCGGGATTAATGTTCCCCCAATATGCCAACTTGGTATGGATGGGGCCGAGTTGCTACTCTGTGAAGGACCTCCTTCCTCTTCTCGGGCGGACGCTGATCCGTCCGTCCCCACTCCTTCTGAACTCTATCTCCGATATGGCAGGTCGGACAGGCCAAGGACTGGGGTCTCAATTAATGAACCGTCCGACATGCCTCCTCGCAGAGCTCCTCTTACAGGGAGTCAGGTGGCCGATGCTAAAGATAAAGGCAAAATGCCCCTAATTCATGAAGACATTACCTCTTCGTGGGGCGGCCGTAGCTCTAGGAGCCGCAGCTCAGCGGAGGCAGCCGACCTGGACAGAGTGATGCCTTCTGAGTTTGGGAGTGCTCCTCAACAAGAGGAGGATGAGGTCGAGAATGCGGCCGAGGGCGAGGGGGCGGCCGAGGAGGACGTTGCCAATATTGACAACTTCAAAGATCCTTACGCCTGTACGGTGGGTAGCACGGCCTTGGGCTACCTAAATTACAATTTTGAAACATAAAAGGCATTCCTCCGCCTTGGGAGGGATTTGAGATTCAGCCTCCAAGGAAGTCACGCGCTGTGGCTGCTTGGGAGGAAGAGAGGCCGTGTAAAAGGTCTTTCGGCATTTATAGGGCGATTTTAGTTGTCGGACTGCGCTTCCCTCTCCACCCCTTCGTCCGCACCATCCTAGACAAATACGACATTGCTCTCTTCCAGCTGATGCCAAACAGCTGGTGTAGGGAATATTTCAAGAGTTAACCCCTTAGCTTGAACCCCACTGTGATCATACACTAAAGTACGGTGGCATCCAAAAGGGAAGAAGATAGAGCAAAAGAGTCGCCAACAAGTTTTAGGAACTTGTAAACCGTTCACAGGGTGAAGGTTACACCCCTTAACGATCCAAGAGATCGTCAACTCCAATAAGGTCTGGAACCAAATAGGGTTCGGGGATGAAGGTACAAATTAAACCTAAAAGAGATTGAACCTGCCCTAATAATAGGCCTCTACTTTATTCAGATCGTATTCATGTGCGCTTTCTGACTAACATGCAATCAATAGGATTAACCTAAACCTGTTTATCTATGTTGGTTGAATTATAATCAAATTAACCCTAACAAGATTAATAAATATCTTATTAAGCGTGATTACTGATGTGTCAATTTTATATAGTATTTTACCCCCGTCCCTTGGTCATAATTAGTAGTGTTTTTGGCTCTTTCAATCCACTTTTATTACTAATTTGTGTTTTCTAGTGTTTTCGTAGTCTTTGTTGAGTTTTGTAAGAAATTGCGCCTTTGGAGCATTTTCTCGGGTTTTTCATGGAGCGACTACGGGAATTAGAAGTGCACGACCATTTTTGAAGCCCAAGGCCGGTTAGAGTCATCGAGCCGGTGATTAAGGTCTCGGTAATTGGGATCCCGAGGTATTTGGACCGAGTATTCAAGACCCAAAGAGGAAATCCGGATTGGGCCGAGAAATCAAGCCCAATCGAAGTCCGAGCCTCAAAGTGAAGCAAGGGCCCGATCAGGCAAGAGGTTGCACGATCGGGCGCGGCGCAGCGTTGGTGCTGTGCGTGCTTATAGCGCGCCCGATCGTGCGAACGTCTAGCACGATCGGGCGATGCTGCTGAGAAGGAGCGCGAAGGAAAGACAGGGCCGCCCGATCGGGCGCGTGTTTTTATGGAGCCTGATTAGTTTAGTTTTAATTCTTGTTTTAGGAAACGTTTAAGTACGAGATTTGTACGGAATTTTGATTATCTTCTTTCTTAGACTTTCTCTCTCTATTTAAGATTTTTCTCTCTCTTAACTTTTCTCTCAACTCTTGTTCTTAATTATTTTCCATTAGTACAGATTAGTTTGGTAACGATTTCTCTTCTCTTAATCTTAGTTGTTTATTTTATTCCTTTAATCATGTCTTGTTTTATTGCTTTGATTAGTTTAGTTTTTACTATGTGTGAATAGTTCTATTTCTAGGGTTTATGGGGATCCTTAAATAATATGAAGGGGTAATTTATTGTTGTTAATTATCAAGGCTAGACTAATTTCCTATTGATTGATTTAATGCTCTGTGACTAGATTAGGCCTGATCTTTTATGCATGAGTTTGACAACATTGATTCGGGATTCGAGAGATGAGAATTGATGTTTAGGTCTAGTTTCAATAGGCAGGTTAATTTATAAATGGTTAAGTCGAGATTCGAGAAATGAGACTTAATGCCGGTAAATTAATTGTGTGATTGTAATACGTAGCGAAAGCCCTTTACAATCTGGTTAATTGATGCATTGATGATTGACTATTATTGATTCTTGATATTGCACGATAATTTCTTATTGAATTGTTTTAACGTTTTACAATTACGGCTTGTAAAAGTATAGCAATATTGAATTGATGAATCGAGCAGATGTTAATTTGATATTAAAGACTATTTCCAATAAGAACTTAGATCTAATAAATTGCGAGAGCCTGTCAGATCTATGTTGTTTATGCAATGTCAATGATTGATTACTATGTTTTACCCTGGAGTATTATTTATTGGTGAACCTATGCCCTAAATCCTTTTATATATTATTTTCTCCCTATTCTCATTCTTTGTAGTTTAGTTTCATACTCAAATATAAATATTGGTTACTTCATAATCTAGATTATATTAGTTAATTAGGAATATAAAGACTTGTTTTCCTGTGGAGTTTGACCCTACTTCCCTATCTATTTTAGTTAGTGGTTTTAGGAATTACTTTTGATTAGGGGATACGACCTTACCTTGTCAAAATTTGGCGCCGTTGTCGGGGAAACGGTTTTATTTTTATTTCTGATTTTTTTTTGTAGTCTAGATTATTGTCTTTTTGTCTCAGAGAGCATTAGTTCTCTGAGGCAAATCTCATATTTGCTTCTAGTTTTTGTTTATGCCCAGGTGTTCCAGATCAGGGTACATCCCATTCGATCCTGAGATCGAACGTTCCTTCCATAGACAGAAAAATCTTTACAAGCAAATCCTGGTAGATTCTGGTGATAATAACAATAATCACCGCGATCCTCCGAGTGGTTCTAGCGATTCAGAGACATCATCAGACGCAGAATCAGAGATGACAGCTCCAAAGAAGCTTAGTGATTACTCACAACCCAAGCTTACAGATTTTCCACATCTAACCCCTACTCCGGCTCTTGATGGGGTTCAATTCGAAATTAAGCCTCAATTTATAACAATGATAGAGAGGAAGCAATTCAGTGGAGCCAAGGGTGAAGACCCAAATCTTCACATTGCCGACTATTGTCAATATTATAACACCATCAGGCATGCCGGGGTCACTCAAGACCAAATCAGGGAGATTCTCTTTCCCTTTTCTTTAACTGGAAAAGCTAAATTGTGGTTTAATGGCTTAAATAGAACTGCACTTGGTATAACTGACTGGGAAACTCTTGTTTTGAATTTTTATAACAAGTATTATCCTGTAGAGAGAACATCCATTTTACGGAGTGCGATTCAGAACTTTGCCCAAGAAGCCGATGAGTCTTTATATGAGGCTTGGGAGAGGTTCAAGGACTTACAAAGAGAATTCCCTCACCATAATTTAGCGCAATGGTAGTTAATCCAAGCCTTTTATAACGGCATTGGAAATTCCTCTAGAATAATTTTAGATTCTGCAGCTAGTGGGAGATTTATGAATCTTAATGTTGATGATGCAGGTCAGGTTATTGAAGATATGGCAATACACAATTCCCAATATGGGAATCCTAGAGGATTTGCTAACAAAGGGAAACATAGTGTTGACTCTGTATCCTTTTTACAAGCTCAGCTGACTTCTATTTGCCAAAAATTAGATAATCTTAGCTCTGCTAATGTAGCTAATGTTTCTGCGATTAATAATAATTCCAATGAGGCTTTCTGTGAAAATTGTGGTATTGTAGGTCGTTGGGAGCAAGATTGCAAGAGTTTCGTGGAGAAAGTTAATGCCTTTCAAGCTTATAGAAAGAATAACCCATACTCCAACACCTACAATCCTGGGTATCGAAATCACCCGTACCTTTCCTACCGGAGCACTAATGTTCAAAATCCACCACCACAAGAACCACAGGCGCCACATCAACAGCAGCAGAAATATTATCATCCCAATGCTAGCCAGAAGAACCAACCACAACAACCCTCCTCATCTTCTGACCCTTCTCTGGTGGAAATTAGAGCAATGTTGGTAAATATGCAAAAGCACATGGAGAGTAGAGATGCGACAATTGATCAAATTCTAGCACATAATAAAATTGTAGATAATCAAATTGCGCAACTCTCCGCTACTCTACAAGCCCGCCAACAGGGAGCTCTGCCGGCACAGCCAACCCGGCCTACGGATCAA